ACTGTTATTATCTGATGAATAATATCACTTCCATTGCGGAAGACTGGCACATCTCCCATGCTTCAGCTTTTGCCTTTTTCTCTTTGATTTTCTGACTTTGGAAGAAAATGTTATTGTCCAAGGCTAGCCCTGAACACCTGAACTCACTGAGGCAGTGAATTAGCAATTCAGGAAAACTCAGCTCCTCTGAGCATGGGCACAGTTTTCTGTGAGAGTTGAGTGTCAGTTTATGTCAGACATTAATAGGAGGCAAGAATTTCAGATGGCAAGAAAGGCAACGTTCTCTTTCTATTCAGTGCTGTTTGCGCTGCTGAAGTTATCAGGGAGAAAAATGAATCTGCTGAGTGGGGTTGACATTCAGGAGTGCAAAAAGCAAAAGAACAGATCATGTCCATCTGCTCCTAAGCACTAACAGCAGGAAAGAACATTGTTGGTTAGAAGGAAGATAAGCCTAAGTGAGATCACACTCCTCCATTCCCTCTGGCCCTACAAATGCCCCTACATATGCTCTTGTGAGTATCAGGAGGATGGATGGGTAGAAAATAGGTGGGGCTTTGTGAGAGCTGGCATCAGCTCCCACAATCCTGCAATGAGCTGTGCACAAGCAGACCCCTGTGCCTGCACAGAGCCCCACTGACTTCACTTAAGTGGAGATCATTGCAGGAGGGGGCGTTGGTCCACATGTCCCCATTCTCCTGCTCTATGCTCTCAAACCCCTCACTGGGAGCCCAGAGGGGAGATATGGGGGAGACGACTGACCCAGGTACTGTTAAAGAGTTCATTTAGGACTGCAGTGGGAGTTTTGCTTGTACAAGGACTGGACAACTGAGCTCTTGCTGTTGTTAGCAGTTGCTGTTGTCGTCGTCAAATCATGTAGCCGCAATTACCCAGTGTGACTGGATTCATTCATCTCCGAGCCTATTAGCAGCAGTGTATTTCATTAGACAAGCAGAGGGGACACACTTGCTTCCCCCTCCTATTAGCTTTACCATGCTGCAGTTACCATTCACAAAAGGTACAGTCAGGAAATGGTGTGCTGGATAATAGCTCATGCAAAACAGATGGCACAACAGCTCTGTCTTTCTCTTGGGCATAAAGAAAAACAGGGCTCTGAATTGTCTGGAACTGTTGTGAATAAAATTACTAACAATTGGTTTTTAAAATCCGAACAGTGTGTCTATCTGCCTATATTTTATTTATATTCTGACCTTGGAAGAAAATAGGAGAACAATAATCATGGATCTTGAGAAATCCAATCACAGATAAAAACTGCTAGTTAAATAATCCATTAGTTTACAATGGCACGTACAACAGCAGCAGAGTTTCTCCTGAGCCTGGTAAGACATTTCAATTTGAAGTGGAATGGTTTGGAACTTCCTTTCAGCACAAAAAGAAAAGCTTCATTCTAACCCTTCAGGGGCCTTAAAAAGTTCACAGTTTTGAACTCTCCTCTAAGGAGAAAAATCTCCATGCAGGCTGAAAGAAATCAGCTCATTTGACCCTGAATCATTTATTACATTTTAAGCTGAAGTTTTTAGAAAGACGACAAAAATAAAGACTACCAAACACCGAGGTTTTAGAACTAAATGAAGTTTTTGTTTGATTTTTTTGTGCTGCCTGTTTCTGTGACATAAATAACTACAAGGCTTGTGAAGTCCTGTAGTTTCTTTCTTTTTGAAGTAGGTTTTGCTTTGCCTCCAATTAAAATTTTCAACAAAAAACCTGTTTCATCGGAAGGATTAACATTCTAAACAAAAGTGGGTTTTTTCATTTTGAGAAATTAAGAGTACTCAGAAATCAGTGTGTTGTGCTACAGGAGCCAATAAATTTGTCTTTATAATAGAAACCAATAATTTTGGAGAGCCATATAGAAAATATTATTTTGTAACTCCCTAGTTTTAAGGCAACTAAGGGATACAGCTAACAATTTAAAATTCAAGCCCACTAGACAGTGTCTCATCTCTCATACCATGCACTTACTGTATACCTGGATCAGGGCACTGCAAGGTTCATCCAGCCCTAGCTCAGAACACAATTCCACTTGCATGGGCAGCCCCTGTCTCAATCTCCATGGGCAAATAACATCATCACCAGCAATAGTTTTCTCACCAGATACTTTATATAAATTTATTTCATTTGCCAGTGGTTGTGTTTACTGCTTCCCCTGCTTCTGAGCTAAATATGGAAAAGGCAAACCATAGCTGTATGAAGCCATAGGTCATGTATGACACGGTATGTAATTTTAATGTTTGGCATCAACATTTCTTGAGATGGGTCAATTTTTTTTCTTCACTGGATACTGCTGGCTCTTTTTATCTATTAATGATCCAGTAAGCCTAGGATCATAGAATCAAAGAACTGGAAGGGACCTCAAGAGGTCATCTAGTCCAGTCCCCTGCACTCATGGCAGGACTAAGTATTATCTAGACCATCCCTGACAGGTGTTTGTCTAACCTGCTCTTACAAATCTCCAGTGATGGAGATTCCACAACCTCCCAAGGCAATTTATTCCAGTGCTTAACTACACTGACAATGGCTGAGATACCCCGGGAGATCTAGGGAAAGGTCAGATGGAAAAGGGGTTGGTGGTGTGGATAGGTGTCTTCATCCAGTACTGTTAGGGATGGACTGGACTCCCTTCCCCTTTAGTAAGAAAGTAGGCATCCAGGGCCCATGAAAGAAGGGAAATGAGCTGCCATAGAACATAGAGAAAGGGCGCGAAGTAGGGGAGCCAGAGACCCCTAGATGACGGGATACAAAACCGGGGATGAAAGAGAGGAATGAACATTCCTGAGGAGAAAGTGGAGAAAAGAAAGAACTGGCCAAGCAGGCATCAGAGGAAAGGAAACCTGAAAGTATTGGAGGACGATGGGCTGTCTAGAGAATGTTCACTACCAGGGTCTTGATAGGAGGAACCCCAAGATACATTGGTAGGACAAGGAGAATGAGGGGAAATGAGATGATGAAGGGCTAGGACATGCCCTGCCCCAAAAGAATAAGGGTAAGGGGGTCCTGGTGTGAAGACCAGTGATCTGAAACAGAATTATGGGCAAATCTCCCACCCATAAAGTGTGAGCTCAGTGGGTGGAGGAAGGATAACCACCCTGGGGGCAAGCACAGGAAAAAGGTACCTGGTGGCACCTCTAAAGAAGAGCAGGTGCCAGGGAAAAGGAACCTCAGCATTCAACGAGCGAGGGAGGGAGGTGTGTGGCAGAGTGCTAGGAGCTAACAGTGACCCAGCATGCTGATCTTTTAGGCACCAATAAGTTCTCCCAGAGAAGGCGGATTGGGGATATACAGTTCATTAGCTGATCAGGCTGGGAGGGCTGATGAATCAGTTAGCCATCAGCCTAGAGGTATAAAAGAAGATGCAGGAAGGGAGTGAGGACCTGAGCTACCTGAATATAGTAAGTGCTAATATATTGAGAAAGGGAGACTGCAGTTCCTCTCTGGCCCTGTGGAACAGAGCAAGAAGCACGGTAAATACTTTGCTGCATGACTGTATAGGTGGTAGTGATGTAAATACATTCACACAAAGTTGCCACTTACTGAAGAGTCTGAAAGGTTTCTGGGGCACCAGAGGATGGGATGGACCATGCCCTTCCAGGATCAGTCTGGTCCAACTCTCTTTCTCCATATGGGAAAACATATGAAAAACTCAGCTCTTGAAGATCTCCTAACCAGCATCTGAAAAAAAACTCATGTGTAGAGACCTCACTGGATTATGTGGTATGCATTGTGGGAAATAAATGAGGGTTTACTGCAGTCAGTAATTAGACTCCTCACTTACCAAAAATGCCAGGTTGTAATTGCTACCACTACTCTTCCTGGGAACGTAATACATAGTAAAAGGCTCAAATACTGTTGTTCCTAATTATTGCATTGGGTTCTGTCAAATGCAAATTAAATATAGAAAACAGTAAGGGGAGAAAATACGTCAAATGGCAAGTTGATCATGACCAGGATAGATGATAAGGGGGCATTTTATTACTCAATCTTCCTTAATTTCTCCTCAGCTTCTGCTTCAAAATGGAAGTTTACTCTTTCTATTTTGAATCTCCAAATTGGAATTAGTGTGCAATCCTGAAAGTCTTTACTCACACAGGTAGCCTTTACTCATACAAGCAGTCCTGTTAAAATCAATGGGGCCACTCATAGGAGTAAGGGTTTGCAGGGTCAGGCCCATATATTACATTGCAGGGAATGCTGTGTAGTGATTAGAAAAGAGGCCTACGATACAGGACTACTGGGTACTATTTCCAGCTCTGGCATTAACTCACTACGTTACCTTAAGCAAGTAATTTAAACGCTCTTGGCCAGATTCCAAAAGTATTTAGGCTCTAACTTCCCTTGAAATCAATGGGAGTTAGGTGCCTCAATACATTTGAGCATCTGGGCCTCTATACTTCCATTTATCCATCTGTAAGATAGGGATAACAATGCCTATTACATTAATCAATATTTGTGAAGCACCTTAAGATCCTCGGATGAAATGGGCTACATAGGTGCAAAGTGCCATATTCTTGGGTTTATTTCCATCTTATGTGACAGACGATGGGACTTCAATGTAAACAGCTTCACTGGTAATGGTAAATGCTGCCCAGTCTAAGGTATGCTTCTTCCTCCAGTATTTCACGTCTCAAAATCAGGATTCATCTTAACACCAATGGTGAAAGCCTGGCCCCATGTAAGTCAATGGCAAAGTTTCCTATAACTTCAGCGTAGTCAGAATTTCACCCCATATGTATTAAAAAAAGGGAGTAGGGACACATGGTAGATGAACAAAACCCACATGCCTTTCAGATATAGAATACTGGAGTTAATGGCAAATGGCACAGTCATTCTTCTGGAAAACCAAGACACCTATTTGTACAGCTGCTGCATTAACTATGCAGAGATCTGGACAAGTTCTATGGGGATGAACTTTGCCTTCTCATTTCTAGCCTGCTGAAGCTGACGTCTCGGCTTGTAATTATTAACTAACTATCCTGGTAGTGAAAGTGCGGCTGTGCATCTCAGCTGCAATTCAGAGCAAGAGACACAGCCTTGGGGACCCGGGAGCTATTGGAAATGTCAACCAGGTATCACAAAGCAGCTGCGGATGGCAACCTAGACCTGTTGAAAGAAGCCACCAGAAAAGATCTCAATACCTCAGATGAAGACGGAATGACACCCACCCTCCTGGCAGCTTACCATGGGTACCTGGAGGCAGTGGAAGTCATATGTAGGAGAGGGTAAGTATAGCAGAGCTTGGTCTCCCAAAGCCTGCTGGACAAAATTATAGCTAGTATTTGGCCTCCATTAATGCAAATTGTGGAGCAAACAGATCATTCCTTCTTCTCTAATTGACTTAGATGTGACGCTGGGGTTATGGTGGTGGTGGTGGGAATGGGACTTAACATTTAAACCAATATTTGTAGTTTGTTTTATAGCTGGTATCAGTAGCTTCTTCATTTCAGTTACGCTGACTTAGGCCCTAATCCTGTAAACTGCCCTAGGTGAACAGACCCCTGTATTCCAGTTGAGCCCCATTGACGTCAATGGGGCTACAGGGAGCTGCCTTCATGGAGCAGTTTCCACAATTAACACTTCAGGACAACAGGAGATTGGCCATTGACTTCAGTGGTGGGGATCACACCCTTTGTTTTAATATTCCTTAGAAACTGGCTCAGCAGAGAAATGCCTCCTTGATAAGTCCACAGCAGCAAACAATACATTTTATCAAAATGTTAATGCCACTTGTTTCCAAAATACAGATATTTTGTAAATGTAAATACCTACAACCTCACGGTGATTTTCAGAAGGAAGCCAGAACTGGGTGTTAGAGAGGATTGAACACAAAATTATGATTTCTCTGCTGTTTGTAGTATTAGAAACAGCCATAATGCCTGGATAGCATTCAGAGCTGTTACTGGAGTTTTAGTTAGGCTTCTTGCAGACTGGAAAGGAATTAAATATAGAGTATACCTCCAGGAGCTTTCTCTACTTCGGTACTTGGTAGCAGTAATATTTCTAATGCTAATTCCTAAATGTACAAATAGTGAAAAATAACATAAAAAGTCACTCCCTCCTCTAGATTACCCACTGTATTCTGTTTCCTCTGAATCTGTCTTTTAGGCTTTGATCCTGCAATAAGATTCACCAGAGGATACCTTTTTTTCCTGTGCTGGGTCCCATTGAAACAAATGTTCTTTCTAGTATGGGAGGGAAATTAAATCAATAGGTACTTTCATATGAGGTACAATAAACCAGAGGGAAGATCAGAAAACCAATGAAAAATTAATAGTTGTTTAGATGTGTTTTGTCTTTTTCTTAAAGACAGAACATAAGCTATAGAATGCAAATGGGTTCTGTGCATGGTAAAGCGTAACAGCTCGAGGTTCCTCTTTGCTCACTGATCTTAGGTGTGGCAGTAGTAATACTTTATTACCCATAAAGGAGACCTATAAACTGTGTGGTCATTGCAATAACCTTAAGAGAAGCAAAAATAGATCCTGAGCTGCGGTATATCAACATAGCTCTACTGAAGTTACTGAAGTCAGCAGAGCTACATCAGTTTACAGCAGCTGAATTTTTGACCCACAATGTTTAGAAGATAGAAGAGAAGGAGCAACTAACAGAGAAAAAGAAGATAAGATTATATTTTCCTAGGTTCCAATGTCTCGTGTTATGACGTATAAGTCAGGGCATGTGTCACAGAGCATCCAAACTTCCACAAGAATGTTTTCTCTCTTCATTTTTAATCTGATATCTTTTAATTCAAATCATCTTGAGACATGACAACTTTGGGATGCTGTTGCCATTTAGAGCCTCAAATAGTAGTTACAGTTTTCAGGAACTCGTCACCCATTTTAACCTGAGATTCTCTGACTTTGTAGGTAGTCCACGGTGACTCACAGAGACACTGTTCTAGTCTGAAAAATGTCCGTTTGGGTCTCTGGGAGATGCTGAATTTTGGAAGGTTTTAAAAAGAGGCTCCAGTCAGATGGCATTTTCTTGGTAGCTATTATTTTTAATAAAATCCTCTTATCCTCAAAGCAGAGCAGCTTTCTACAGTTTCTGGACAAAGACACTCACATACAGTGGAAGTTTTTCCTCAGAATGGCTGCAGATTTCCAGGCTCTGAAGCTTGGAACGTATTCATACTAATGTAAAACAAAACCGCAGTAATAATGAGCCATTGTCATCTACATTGCACTTGCCCTCAGTCATGAAGGGCCAGATTGTGCCTGGCCTCTGTGTACTGCACAAGTGGAGGAGAAAGCAAGAAAGCTTTCCTCCTATTTGCAGCCCCAGTGACTGGAAGAATCAGCTTCCTTTGAGTTATCAGGCCCGCTGCTTCCTAGTGCCCAAGAGTACAAGAGAGCCCAAAGAGGGCAAATTCATGAACACGTGACTAATTTTTTCCATTGTCCCATTGACTTGAGTTAGAATCAGCACCTAGTTTGCAAAGTGTTTTGAGATGCTAGGATGGAAGACATCAGAAGAGAAAAAAATTACAAATGATCGATGGCTAAAATTATGGACATAGGCAACCACCTTTTTAATACACATCACAATGCGAGAAAGAATGGTCTAGTAAGATGCTCGCCTTATTGGGTTTAATTCCGTACTTCACTAGATACTTCCCTTGGGACAATGGGCAAGTCATTTAGTCTCTGTGTGCTCCAGTTCCCTAGCTGTAAAATGGGAGTGGTAGCACTGTCCTATGTCACAGGGGTGTGAGGATACAGGAGAAGTTGTGAGGTGCTCAGATACCAGGGTAATGGGGGCTGAATAAATAACTTAGAATTAAAGGTGAATCATTTAAAGCGTCTCTTCCAGTGACATTTGATGCCAGAGACTGATGCCTGCTGGAGATTTTGTGATGATACAATCTCTTTCATTCACATTAGGTGAATCATGCTCTGAACTTTAAAAGCTGTGGGAAAATGTGACCACACTGGTAAAAAGACGCACAACATTGTTATCTTTTGAGCTGCTGATAATATCATTTAAGTCTGCCTAATATGAGAGAAAAGATTCCAAGTTATTCTAATCTATAGACATCAGGTTTGTGTGAAATTAATGCAAGAGGAAGAGAGAAATTATACTTCTCACTGGCTTTAAATTAAAATGAATGGACATGACAATTTTATTTTCAAATGAGTTTCTGCTTTTAAAAACCCAGGGGCAAAAACAGCTTAAGAAGAACAAAGGAGCTGAAGAAAAATGATAGCTTCTCTCTGAACTATATTTAATTGCAGTGAAGACAAATGTGTAGCGTCAGGGCTTTGTTCCTAATAATTTACCTATTAACTATCATAAAAGTTACTTCCATGGACACTGTAAGTATTTTTTGAGGTAGTCAAATACAGTAGTCTCCGCCCATTGTGCATGCATTTTACATTCAAAAGGAAAGGCTCAGCAATAATTCTTAAAAACATTTTGAGTGAAATCCTGGTCCCATTGAATTCAATGAGAATTTTGCCATTGACTTCAATGGGGCTAGGATTTCACTGAATCTAGGGTCTGATCCCACTCCCATTGAAGTCAATGGTAAAACTCTCTGAGTGCCCATTTGAGACACCATTCCTGACCAGCTTCTCCTAGGCTGGGGAGGGGGATGGTAGTTTGTTGCTGGTTAACACGAGGCATGACACCCACGGGTTAGCTCAGTCATACTAGCTGGCTTGTTGGCAGGTGCAGCATGCCCTCACCCACTCCCCACCCCTCTGCTCAAGGGGTTAGTGAACAAGCATGGAAGGCTTGGAGTCAAGATCTGGGAAGCCCAAGCCAGGGTACAAAGGAGAGTTCTTATGCCTGTGTGGGCCTGTAGTCCACATCATGTTCTAGCCCTAAGAGTTTGCCCAGCACCATAGAGGGCGTTGGTGTTAGGGCTGGGATTAGAGCTCAGGCCACACATCCAGCCATGTTCAGCCCTCGACTAACCAGGTGCAACACCATTAAAGACAGTGGATTTGCACCCACTTGTCTGCAGTAGAGCTGCATCCACTTACAGCAGTGCTGAATTTGGCCCTGGATCACAGTTCATTCCCACTGCGTTGAGTGCTATGTTTGAGCTGTGTTTTGACATGCACACCTTACTCCTATTTTGCTTTTCAGCGGTGACCCTGACAAGTGCGACATCTGGGGGAACACACCTCTCCATCATGCGGCTTCTAATGGTCACATTCACTGTGTCTCATTCTTGATTAACTTCGGTGCCAATATATTTGCCCTGGATAATGATCTGCGCACTCCTCTGGATGCAGCTGCCAGCAGGGACCAGCATGAATGTGTCAGAATCCTAGACAAAGCTGCTACCGAACAGAATGTAATGAATCCCAAAAGAGTGGCCAAACTCAAAGCCCAGGCCCCGAGGAATGCAGAGAAACAAATAAAAGAATGTGAAAAGCGCCAAGAGAAACACCAACATGAAATGACCAGGAATTATAACAAAGAAAAGTATGGATCAGTGAGTTCTGCCAGTGGGACAGCCTCCAGAACAAAGGTGTCCAATTTCTTTATTTCTAATACATTGGGCTCTTTCCCCAAAAATCTGAAGGACACTTTCAGGATGAAGACAAAAAAGAAAGATGAAAACACAGGTGATCAGGAAGCACAAAGCAATGGCCAAGAAGATGACAGGGCTGGGCGAACTACCGTGATGGATGTATTCAGTGAAAAAGATGAGGATGAATTATGTAATTACTTTAAAGGGAAAAATATTTCTGAAGATGATAGCGAGCAGGAGCATGTGTCCATTTTCAAACGGCCAGGTCTTGGCAATATTGTGTTTAGACGGAATTTGGCTGCAGGGATAAATGCTGAAGAGATGTTCTCAGAGAAAGAAGAAATAAGTTTTAAAATGCCAACTGAGCTTTTTCGGCATGAAAGGGCTGAGAGCGCAAGTGAGCTAGACACTGAAAATGATTTTGATGTCCCTTGGAATGAGGATGAAATTGGATGGGATGACGATGAAGCAGAGAGCACCCCTCTTGAGGTATTTCTGGCATCACAGAATCTGAATGAGTTTGTTCCTGTCTTCATGAGAGAAAAGATTGATTTAGATGCCCTCATGCTATGTTCCAATGAAGACCTACTGAGCATACAAATACAGCTGGGCCCAAGGAAGAAAGTCCTCAGTGCAGCAGATAGAAGAAAGCAGGCACTGGAGAAACCTGGAAAGCTTGTAGATACTCGCTTATAAATAAATGTGCCTGTTGCAATAACTATGCATTAATTCATCATGCTTTTGCTATTTTAAAGCCATGTATGGTTCTTTTCAGGCATCTTCCACAGGAAAAGACAAAGAGGTTTCCAGCTGATTAACCATGCACAATGGGACCAATAGAGAACATCAGTTTGAATGGATGACCTTTAGCTCCTGACAAAAAGAAAGAGTATGCAGATAGGTAACAAAGAAAGGGCCAGAGGATGTTGTGAAGGCCAAGACTATAACAGGGTTCAAAAAAGCACTAGATAAGTTCATGGAGGATAGGTCCATCAATGACTATTAGCCAGGATGAGCAGGTATGGTGTCCATAGCCTCTGTTTGCCAGAAACTGGGAATGGGTGACAGGGCGTGGATCATTTGATGATTACCTGTTCTGTTCATTCCCTCTGAAGCACCTGGCATTGGCCACTGTCGGAAGACAGGATTCTAGGCTAGATGGACCTTTGGTCTGACCCAGTATGGCTATTCTTATGTTCTTACATTTTTAGGTAAAAGAAATAGTTCCAGAGCTGAATCCTTCCCACCTAAAGATCATGCTAGGCATATCTTCTTTTTACAGTCTTAATGGTTTAAAATATTACTGACAGCCAGTTACTGCACTCCATAAGCAATGAACCACAACGCATTTCCAACAGCCAGAGATCTTTGATTTTCTGTCCCACAAAATAAGACAATTTTCAGACTCTGAATAGATTGCTGCAAGGTGTCTTCACTGACACTATTTGAGAACTGGGTGATTGATCTTGATTTTGACTGTATCCCATTGACTCTATAATAGGTTCTGAATGAATGAACTCTTTGTGCCAATAAATTTCATATTCCTGTCATTCATGTTTTCTCACTGTTCAAGAGATGTTCCTTAGTTTTTTTAAAAAGTGAAACTTCTGACAGAGCCACCTTTAGTTTGAGTTGTTTGTTCCTCTTTCTTGTCACATTAGTTGCAAAAGTTATTGTTCTATAATGGATACAAGGCCTTTAATTACAGGAAGATGTAGGTTGGTTTGTTTTTTAGTTGGCTAGCATTTGTATCTGTTTCATTTGACATGCCCTTTGCTTGGTCTCTAAAGAAACACATTTTCCCCAGAGAGTTCTGGAAATTAGGGCCCTAGCATTTCTAATGGAATTTGTAGTCCTAATGCCCAGTATTTTCCACTGGTCACTCATGGTCTCAGCTTGGAAGCTGTATGTGCTAGGGTGTATATACCCATAGGGAGGAAGGAAAAATAACTTTCTGTCCTAGACGGAGTCATGCACAGCTGGGTTCCCCTCATTAGGGAAGTAGGCCTTCAAAAGGAAGTGATGGCACTATGCGGGAGGGCCTTGGTTCCAAGGAGGACCAGCCCTCTTCCCGGTTGCTGGATTGAGAAGACCTCTACCTACAAGATGGGATTGCTCAGAGGATTAGATCCTCTGTAGAACTGCTCATGCAGTGTCCCCTAGAGAGCCAGGGCTGTGTGATGGGAGTTAATCCCTCCTCTTAACCCATGTTGCGCTTGTTGGGCCTCGCTCTGCGAGCCCTGAAATCAACTGGACGCTAAGCTGGGGGGAGAGGCAGATACGTTGGAGGGTAAGGATAGGGTCCAGAGTGACTTAGACAAATTGGAGGATTGGACCAAAAGAAATCCGATGAGGTTCAACAAGGACAAGTGCAGAGTCCTGCACTTAGGACGGAAGAATCCCATGCACCACTACAGGCTGGGGACCGATTGGCTAAGCAGCAGTTCTGCAGAAAAGGACCTGGGGATTACAGTGGATGAGAAGCTGGGTATGAGTCAGCAGTGTGCCCTTGTTGCCAAAAAGGCTAACGACATATTGGGCTACATTAGTAGGAGCATTGCCAGCAGATCGAGGGAAGTGATTATTCCCCTCTATTCAGCACTGGTGAGGCCACATCTGCAGTATTGCGTTCAGTTTTGGGGCCCCCACTACTGAAAGAATGTGGACAAATTGGAGAGAGTCCAGCGGAGAGCAACAAAAATGATCAGGGGGCTGGGGCACATGACTTATGAGGAGACGCTGTGGGAACTGGGCTTGTTTAGTCTTCAGAAGAGAAGAGTGAGGGGGGATTTGATAGCAGCCTTCAACTACCTGAAGGGGGGTTCCAAAGAAGATGGAGCTCGGCTGTTCTCAGTGGTGACAGAACAAGGAGCAAGGGTCTCAAGTTGCAGTGAGGGAGGTATAGGTTGGATATTAGAAAACACTATTTCACTAGAAGGGTGGTGAAGCACTGGAATGGGTTACCTAGGGAGGTGGTAGAATCTCCATCCTTAGAGGTTTTTAAGGCCCGGCTTGACAAAGCCCTGGCTGGGATGATTTAATGGTGTCAAGGTTCCTTCCCCACTCTGAACTCTAGGGTACAGATGTGGGGACCTGCATGAAAACCTCCTAAGCATACTTTTACCAGCTTAGGTTAAAACTTCCCCAAGGTACAAATTAATTTTACCCTTTGCCCTTGGAATTTCCACTGCCACCACCAAACTTTAACTGGGTTTACTGGGAAACGTAGTTTGGATACGTCTTTCCCCCAAAAATCCTCCCAACCTTTGCACCCCACTTCCTGGGGAAGGTTTGGTAAAAATCCTCACCAATCTGCATAGGTGACCACAGACCCAAACCCTTGGATCTTAGAACAATGAAAAAGCATTCAGTTTTCTTACAAGAAGACTTTTAATAGAAGTAAAGGAATCACCTCTGTAAAATCAGGATGGTAGATACCTTACAGGGTAATTAGATTCAAAACATAGATAATCCCTCTAGGCAAAACCTTAAGTTACAAAAAAGACACACAGACAGGGATAGTTATTCTATTCAGCACAATTCTTTTCTCAGCCATTTAAAGAAATCATAATCTAACACATACCTAGCTAGATTACTTACTAAAGTTTTAAGATTCCATTCCTGGTCTATCCCCGGCAAAAGCAGCATATAGACAGACACACAGACCCTTTGTTTCTCTCCCTCCTCCCAGCTTTTGAAAGTATCTTGTCTCCCCATTGGTCATTTTGGTCAGGTGCCAGCGAGGTTACCTTTAGCTTCTTACCCCTTTACAGGTGAGAGGATTTTTCCTCTGGCCAGGAGGGATTTTAAAGGGGTTTACCCTTCCCTTTATATTTATGACAAATGGTGTTGGTCCTGCTTTGAGCAGGGTGTTGGACGAGATGACCTCCTGAGGTCTCTTCCAACCCTGATGGTCTATGATTCTATGACCCAATGACTTTGCTGGAGCTGCTACAGTCTGATAGATTTTTCAAAGCCACACAGAGTACTGAGAGACTGCATTACTCATTAATGGAAGCTGGGCCTCTAAATCCCCTAGGTGGCTTTGAAAATCTCAGCCTGTACATACAGGATTTGTGCTGTTGCTCAGCTGTGATCCTAGAAAGTACATCAAGAACAGCCATTCTGGCGCAGACCAATGGTTCATCTAGTTCAGTATCCTGACAGTGGCCAATGCCAGATGCTTCTTAGAGAATGAACAGAACAGGGCAATGACCAGGTGATCCATCCCATCATCCAGTCACAGTTTCATAGTCAAGAGGATTAGGGACATCCAGAGCATGGAGTTGCATCCCTGATCATCTTGGCTAATAGCCACTGATGGACCTATATAGCTCCATGAACTCATCTAATTCTTTTTTGAATCCAGTTATACTTTTTACATTGCCTTTGCGGACACTGGCACCAGTTTTTAATCTATTTAACACTTTTCATGATCCACTCTTTTTGCTCCTTCCTCCTGTTCCTTAGTTTATTGAAACTACATATCTTCTTGCCTCAACCATACTTTAGATTGTTTATTTTCCTCCACGGAAGGCAATGTATTGATGCGTCAACACTTCTTTTTATTAGGCAGTTGTTCTGGAGTTCCATGCTGTGCAACTTACAATAGCTGCAGTGCTCAGAACATTAATTAAACCAGACAGCATTTTTTTCCATATAAAAAACCCCAGTTGATAATTAACTAAATGTTTAACACAGAAAGAAAAAGGATCTTAAAAATATTTATGTGCTTGAAGGTGTCCTAGCTGAGCCATTTGACAAGAGGCTCGCAAAGGGCCAAATCCTGTCATCCTTAGTCAGGCAAATTGATTTAAAAACTCAGTGGGTTTTGCCTGAGTATAGACTGCTGGACTGGGCCCATGATTACCCTCCCCTTCCTTATTTACCTGCTAAACTCCACTTGAGCATTGACTTTTCCAGATGTCTGAAATCCGGTTACAATTTGCAGTCTCCCCTCACCTCTGGCTCCCCCCACACGTTACCGGTGTTTATTTAGGACTCTCTCACCACATCATCAACCCATCTGGGAATGAAGCCACTAAAGATGGAACTGCTACATGGCCACCCTTACCACAGAACAGTCATCAATAATTCTATGCTGATGATGTTGCCTGTTTGACTGGAGTCTCAGCAGAAATACATAACCAGTCTCTGTACTGTGTTGTACAGTTAAAATATAGCCAACAAGAAATTGGACCAGAGTACAAAGTCATAGGCATAACATGGCTCTTTGTGCCAAAGTTTTAAAGGTATGCAGACACCTAAAGATGCAGATAGTCAGTTAATGGCATTTTCAGAAGCATTTATCTGCATTTTTAGGCACATAAATACCTTTAAAAATCTGACCCTTTGTGTTTCCACTTGTAAATCTACTTTATTGATACCAGCTTTGAGAATCAGCACATCTCCTAATGGTGCAGACAGCAATATCCTATGTGGGGGCTGACTGCCTGGATGCACATGATAAAGTTCCTTCATTTTAAATGATAAACAAAAAAACTTTTCTTGAAGCAATTCCCTTGAAGAACAACATCTTTGATAAGTGGCTCCTACTGTAGAACAGCACTCTGGCCACCTGTTAATATGCTTCAATTTGGAGGGATGCATTTTAGTTCTTCATTTATGAAATCTGCAGTGTCATTTCCTGAAGCTCTCTCAAAAGCAGCTCTCCTTGTTTAAACAAACCCTCTGCCCATTCAGAAGTCTTTATAATTGGCCCAAAATTCGACCCATTAGTAATAATGGCCTACATTTATACGGTGCCTTTCATCTAGAAGGACTTTAAACACTGTGGGTAAAAGTATCCAGCCAAATCTATGCCTGCATAATTATTTGTTAAGCCCCACCAGTGTGCTGAGCCCTATGTAGCATACAGAAGCAGTGGGCCCTTCTCCACGGAGCTTACAGTCTAAACTGGACAGGCAGCACAGTGAATACAAATTGTGCTGCATTACCAGAGCCTGGAAAGTCCAGGCTCAGGAGTGAGGCAGAGTTGGCTTGTTTTCTTTTCCCTCTGCAAGTAATTTACTATAATGGACAGCCAGGTTGATATTTGCAGAGCTAAAAATCACAGGAAGATGCAGCACAAATTAGATAGAAAAAGTTGTTTTGATTTTCTAAAAAAGAGTTTTAACAAATAATGGACAATAAAATGAAAGATTACTACAAATAAAAAAGTTTCCCCTTCATTTTACCTTACATATCTCTTGCACATGACACTCATCCTGAGGCTGTACCACTGGGATTTGTGAAAGAAGAAAAATATATAAATCTAGGCTGGAATTTTCAAAGGAAGCTAAGGCATACAACTTCCACTGAAGTACAGTTAATGTTCCTAGGCTTCTTTGGAAATTCCATCTGAACGTGCTGCAATTTTGCTACAATTAAATGGCCCTCTCAGTATGGTATTGGAAATGCTAATGGAAAATACAGAAAGAAATGTCAAGTCAGAAAGTGAATCAGCTGATACAGCACTTTGATAACAGTCACATTTTGGCAACTATTTAACATGATACCCAAATGGAAAATGACCAAGAATCATTTTCGTTAGAGATGGGATCAAGCTGTAATGTTCAGATTCAGCTCTGAATGTTTACAAAGTTGGGGGGCACTTGGATCTGGGTATTTAGTTAAGTTTATGAAAACTGGATCCAGAGTTGAATCCAAACTTCCCCAAAGTTTAGAAATGTCCAGTTGTGGAGCTTTGGAGCCTGGCTCTGAGCACCTGCTTTTCCCACTGAAGCCAATGGAAATTCCAGGTGGTCAGGATCAAGTCCTTCGATTGGATCCATCTCATTTTTTATTTTCAGACATCAGAATAAAACACTGGGCAGCGAGTTAGTGCATAAACTGTTCCACCTTCAGAGAACCAAACAGAAAGGCTGGCTTATTTCACATGTGGAAATGAACCATTTGGGGTTCTCATTTCAGTCCCCATTAGTTCCCCATCTCAAAACGTTACTCAGTCTGGCCAGAACTGTAATCCTTGTTCAAGAGAGGCATAGCACTGGGATAGCAGTGTTGCTAGATGATATTACTGTTTTGCCAGAGTTATGTGTGGAAACTCACTCTGGTAGCCCATGTTACACTTGGATCATCCCAGTGTTGTTAGTCCACCACTGCTAAATGAATGCACAGATTTCAAAATATTCAGTACATTAAATGTTAATTTTTTCATAACAGAATTTTTAAGGTCACATAATTACAATTTAAAAATGCAAAGGTTAAGAGGACAAATTCTGCATTCACTTATGCCAGTAAAAAGTCAGTGGAATTACTCTGGATTTTGCACCCCCGTAAAAGAGAGCATCATTTGACCCAAAAGATTTATGGGTTTGTTACCCCCTCAATGCTAAATATGCAATTTACTCCGATTTTCTGACGAGTTTACAAAAGGCTTGTAACTTACACACAAATTACGTCACCTGTGACTTTTGCCCATAATTCTCTTTATAAATTTACTCATGCACCACCCAGAGATTTAACAATACATTCTACTGTACCTCCTGTCTATTGCTTCTCTATACTGTACTAGCAGCATTACAAATGACTGTGCTATATACATCCCCATGGAATGAAGAAATATTTAATGACCTGCATGGTATAAAACGTAGATACAAACAATTTTATATGGCACAAATACAGCCCAAGCTCAGAACTCTTTCCCAAGGCAAGAGACATCTATTAACAGATGTGCAGTCTATGCAAAACAGTTAGGTTGTTTGCATAGAACAGGAACTTTTCTTTACCTAGCATGTCACCCTCGGTTCCCCTGTCAAGAAAGGATCACAGAGGCTCCTTTAAAGCAATGCTCAGATGGCTAAAAGCATGATTACCAGTCCACTCACCTACTCAAGACACAAACAAACCTCAGCACTGAAAAGGTTTGTCTTCACACTGGAAAGAAGTTTATCCCACTGAAATAAGTCAGCATGACTCTAACCTAAGAGAGCCTTAGTAGAGAATTTATGAACATATTAAATCAGGAAATCTCCCAAAAGAATATGTGAAATATTATTTATTTATTTTTAAAGAAAAAACTGTTTAACGCTTAAGTTTTGGGTGAATCTCATGACCATCATAAACTGATAATACTAAGTCCCAGCATAGAAAGGCACTGAACTATTTAGTCTTTTTGATTAACACACTCTAACTGTAACCTACAGCATTTCAGATTCAGGCCTTTCCAGAGACCGGATGGATAGATGTCTGAATGATGGTGGTTTCATCATGCTGAGAACTGTCCCACTGGGATTTAAAGTGAGACAGCTATCACTAGTGACATGATACCAGATTTAAACTACAGTTCCACACTAGTGCATTTTACCACAGCACCAATTAGCTCTCCACAGACATGAAATCTGCACACAGTTTTTCTGCTAGCTATTGTACATTAGGAAGCAAAAGTGGTTTATTCCAAAGGATATCAAAATGCACAGAAATACATTTGTTAGTAACTTCACAAACATTAGATATTTGATATTAAAGAATAAAAGCAAATGCTATATATGTTGTAATTTTAATATTGACTATTGAAAGTTATAAAGTATTATATTCCCTATGGAATTATTTCCTTTTCTTATAAAGAAATGGTACAAGAAAACTAAGTATGAACCATTTTCTTTATATTATTTTGTCCTTCTTAGTATTGCAGGCTCTTCGTTTTAGTTACCAGCTGACCAGGAATCATAAACTAATTTTGCTGCCACAGTGTCTTCAATTGCGATCCCTGAAATATATAACAAAATTAAAATCACCTACAACCAATACTTTGGTTGAATTAAATAATTTAACTTCACAGGGAAGCAGAATGACTAGACAATGGACTAGAGAATCTTTCACACTGCAATCTAGGACACCAGACTGATAATGACAAGAAGTTATCACCATCAGATAGCTGCTAGGTGCCTTGTGTGAAAGAAGTTTATTAGTTTCAATCCAATTCCCATTGGACATGTATCCATGCTGTAAAAGCTACCACAACTGGAACCAATGGATCCTTGCTATTAGGTCATTCTACTTTGACCATGGTAATCCAGTGTTCTGATCGCTTTCAATAATGCACTTCTTTGTCACATCACCTTCACATCAAACAGACTTCAGCGGCATCAGGGTAGGACGTTCAGGATGAAGTTATGTTAGTAAACAATGTAGTCATGAGTTGAGTAAATGGAACTTAAACAAAATGGACAATGTAATTTTCTGTCATGTTTGCTTTCCTTTCAATTTTGATTTTATCAGCCTTGTTACATTGAGAAAGGAGGGAAAATACTCATCTTATACTGTAGCTACTGTCCTCTGTAGTGGGTGGTGGGACAGCAGCTTTGAAGATCATCAACTTTCCCATGCAAGAGGGAGCTGTAGCTCACGAAAGCTTATGCTCTAATAAATTTGTTAGTCTAAGGTGCCACAAGTACTCCTTTTCTTTTTACGGATACAGACTAACACGGCTGCTAGTCTGAAACCAATAAATAAAAAGGCATTTTTCCTCATCAGATTTACACATAGGAGGGGCTTGTTCTTACCCAGAGATTTGAACACTGTTGTTTTCTCAGGCAAGGCTGGTTTTGTCCCCTTCACTACCTCTCCCAGCTCGGCAAAAATCTCTGCCTGTGAAACAAATGCACGTTTAGGCTTGATATGGCCATCAAGAGAAATAAACTTGGTTTTGAGTGATTTTAAAAGAAAGAGAAGACAAAAAATTTGAAAGGTTCTGTAACTAGTAAAACAGATCATTGTTAGGTCAAGTAATGTAGAAACTGGACAGAAATTCCAGAAGAACAACATGGCTTTCAGAGAAAAATATCTGCCTGAATTTTATTACCCAAAATGATTGACCTGTTACCTTGCTGACAAAGATAAATTGACTTCTATGTAGTTTACAGTGTGTTGGTTTTGCAGATGAAACCTTAAAAATGAAAGCCCTGTCTGCTATGTGTGGACATTAAAAAAGATCCAATGGCACTTTGTGTAAGGGCATGACAAAAGGTCCCCTCTCCTCAATTTTGTGCAGTGTGACAGCCATCTGTTTGACTGCTGGCCTCCACACATTAGAGGCAGTTCTAATTTAATTATGCTGAAACATATATTATGGGGATACATAGGTGCAACAGAGCAGAATTTGTCCCATCATATATAAATTGCTTTGGGATCTTCTGGGATGAAAGTGAAAGATTTAGAATCATTTTTTAAACATTAAACATTTTTAAGTGTAGATCTAATACAGGACGGATCTGAAAGCAATGAGAAATGGCACAGTGCAAAAGTAGCATTCGAGGGGAGAAGCTCTAGCATTTAAGAAAGACTTACCCTTGATAATATAACATCTCCTGATTCATTCAGAGCAGCCTCTCGAGAATCCACATATAGGACAGAATTCTTCATCACTTCATCATTCAGCTCTCTCCAGTCTGGTCTGCTTGCCCCAACAGCTAAAAGATAAAAGTGATTAACTTCAGAGAGAAATATTTAAAATGGATTCAACAGAACACATTTCTTGTTCAACAGAGGTGAATAATGCCTTTCCACAGCAGTGTTGTCACTTACGCAGAAGCAGCCTGAAATTAACCAAGGACAAGTTCACTGATACAGAACAAGAACAGCCTGATTGACTAGGGAAAGTCCTGGGCTTCTCTCCATTCATTATGCATCTAGGGCTTGATCCTGCTTAGCACCTTCTACTCCCATTGATGTCAAAGCAGGATTGAGCCCTTAGGGTCCAATCCTCCAAAGTGCTGAGTTCCTGTTATGTCTGCTGAGCACCCTCAGCCCTCATTGGGTCTAATCCTACTCTCACTGAAATCCTTGTATTCCGTGAAAACACGACCAGGAGCACTGAAATCAATGAGTCCCCTTGTAGCAGGGGCGGCTAACCTGTGGCTCCGGAGCTGCATGAGGCTCTTCAGAAGTTAATATGCAGCTCCTTGCATAGGTGCTGACTCCGGGGCTGGAGCTACAGGTGCCAACTTTCCCCTGCCCTTTCCTGCCCCCTCCTCTGAGCCTGCTGCAACCTTGCTCCTCCCCACTCCATCCCAGAGCCTCCTGTACATTGCAAAACAGCTGATCACGGCGGGCAGGAGAGAGGGGGAGGTGCTGATCGGCAGGGCTGTACATTGGCAAATTCTGGATCCTTCTCAGGCTCAGACTGGCCACCCCTGCCTTGTAGGATCAGGCTGCTAACAGAAAAATAAAACTCATGTGGGAGCAAATCCACAATGGCAGGGTGAACTCACAAGGGGGAGCAGAATTCTTTGTTTGCATTTGTCGTTAGACAGCCTTTTCCTCTTACGCTTGGCCCTCCTGCTTACATCTCTACTCCTCTGGAAGGCTTAGCCAAAGAGGAGAGGTCATAGTGGAGGCAGAGAAAGGGAGGTAGAGATCTGCATAGCATTTACAAAGTAATCACAGTGAAATATCTGCCAATAAACCTGCAACTCCTTGAGCAAAATATGTTATTTGTTACACAGGTGCATTCCCCAGTTTGGCCTAAGAGCTTTATCCGTGTCCAGCTTGTTCCCATTCTCACAGTATCCGCCCGCCCATCTCACACCAGGCAAAGACATTAACAAACTAATACAAAACCAGATAAGCCAAGTGCTTGGTTAGCACCAAGGACAGATGTACAACAGTGACTCAGCTACCCTTTCGCCCTTTAGGGCGAGTCTAACAAGGCAAGGCGACATAGGGAAGCTCACCCTGTCACTGCCTACACTGTATCTCTGCTACAGATAATAAAAGTACTTAGTGCTCATATAGTGCTTTTCATCATAAATCACAGATCTTCAGTCTCTAAGGCTGCCAAGCCCAACCCTTTCTCAAATAACACGCGTATTTATAAAGTTGTTTAACTAACAAACAACCACACTGTACTATAGTTTGGTAGCTATCCAAGAACAGGCTTGGCGGGTGCTATGCTGCTGTATCATATCCTCTCTTATCCTATCAGCCCTTCTTCTGTTCTTCACCCTCTTCCTGCTGCTCCTGACAAAGCCCTGCTGGATGTTGTGATTGTAACATCCTCCTCAGCAGGATGTGGATATCTAAGGTAAATGACACAATTCCTCCCTCCCCCCCTTTCCTATTATCTCTTGCCCCTCTCCACTTCCCTCTCCTCAATTCATTTGCAAAAGCCTTGGATTTCATAATTCTTTTTTATTAAGTGTTTTTGATCCAGACTGTCTTGATGTGACGTGCCTGTAGAGAGAAATGCAATTAAAAGATCCCTCACTTATCCTTATTATATCAGAACCAAAGAAGCACTTTGCTGCAGAGAATTGTGCGTGCAGACCGACGACTGAACATTATCATCTGCGATTTCTAAATCGGCAGTTTCCATTCTTTTCTTGTGACTTTGGAAGCAGTACAATTGGAGCCCATTTACAGATCTTTACTTACCGAAACAGTTTTGCGAACAAAGGCTTATCATTAAAAAAAAAAAAAAAAAGTAAAACTCCTAGCAACTTCTTTTGTACAGATAAACACAAATAATAATAGTATGAAGGGTAAAACAATTCTCCTATACAACTTTACAGACAGTAGGGATGTGAGAACTCCAGTGTTGTCTCAATGCCTCATGCAGTAGGAATGCCTCTGGGAACAAACAAGGAGAGGTGGTCTTTGTGTATGCCTTGCCTCAGCTGTGAGACAGCATAGATAACAACATCACTGACAAAGAATTAAACTAAGTTTGAAAAACTGGTGGGGTGCTTTTCAAATGTGGGAACTTCCTTTATATTGTCCTCTCTTACAAGTTGCCTTTGTCTCATTACCAGACCACTTGGAAAGTGCACAAGGTCATCTGAACCAGGTCCAAATTAATTAATGTAAATAAATGCCAAGGAGCCCAGGGGCTCTGTATGCTAGGGCAGCAACATCATCACCAGAAAACACAATTAAAAAAAAGAACACAGTGAAGGGACCAAACCCTGGGGTTCTCTCAGTTTTTACACGGTTCTTAACTCAGGCAAAACTCTCACTGAGATCAAAGGGATTCAGCCACAAAAAAGAAATTAAGGAGTTTGCAAAACAGGGCAATAGAAAGGTTGATAAATACCAGGGAAAAAGTAGTGCTACTAAAAAATCACTTTGGGAACATGTTTCTAGGGTGTTGTTTAAATCTAAGATTAAAAGGATATCAAGGCCACACCTTGGTGGCCACAAAAGCAAAAATGAGATTACCTGCTGCTCAAACATACAATAGCAGAATCCCTATATAGAACTGAATCCAGACACCCAGCAGGACCGTGCTCAAAGAGGAGAAGTGATTATTCTGAGAAATCTAGACCAGTCTGGGCAGAGACCATCTTTGTGAGTATTATACAGCACCACACTGAGCACATCAGAGCTAAATAAAATAATAATGATAAATAATTGCAGAGAAACCCCCCAATCAATGAGAGTCTGGCATACCGTTGATATGGGCACCTGGTTTTATCCACTCTCCAAATAAAATTGGCATTGTTGCCATGGTGACTGTTATAATCACATCAGCTCCGGTGACAGCCTCCTGAGCAGAGGAGCAAACCTGCACTGGACCCCTAACTGAGCGAGCAAACTTCACAGCATTCTCCTTAGTGCGATTCCATATCCTGACCTGCAAAGCAACATGGAAAGCATGTAGAGATTATATAATATGAGTAACCCATCCTTGCAAAATTCCCAAACAAGCACTTATTTTAAAATGCTCAATGAGTTTTCTTCATTATCATTACTCATCCTGGCAAAGAACAGGGGAGTAGATTTTGTGTCTGGGCTCGTACACCTTCATGATTATCTTGCAATGCTAGTATAACAGTTCATGGCATCTTTATATTTATAAAATACACTTTAAATAGAAAATCTGAACTGATCAAGGCTGCAGGAAGCTTGTCCAAGAAATTTATATATGGTAGGATTGTCTCAATTAGAGAAGAGTAAGTCTGAAACTTGACTTTGTTTCAAGCATGTGTTATTAAAATGCTTTGAGATGGGAGGAGGAAAGGCTATAGAAGTGTTATGTTCTCTAGAGACATTTTATTGAAATATGCTCAAGGCATTAGATACAACTTTATTGGTTATTATATACATTATTTGTTATTGGTGTTACTGAAAAATAATTGAGAAAAATAAATCTTCTCCTTTGAGATGCATTCCTTGGCTTACCTCTTTAAATGAGAACTGCTCCGTGAAGATCTCATAATGGCTATAGGCTTGAACACCAGCTCCTAGAATGCACAGCACTTCTGCATCAGCTGGCATTAAGAACTAAAATATATCAAGTCAGAAAAGAAATCAATGACAGTAGTCATGGAAGAAACACAGTTGTGATGGTGATCCGCTTTTTAAATTAAAACACCTCAATCTTAGGCATATTTACACTGGAGAGACACATTTACACTGGAGAGTTTATTTTTACTTTTTACAGGGGGGTCATTGATCCCTAAAAGAAACTTTTGTGGGCTTGATTCAATTTGCACTTTTGCATTTGTACTGATGTAGCTACATCTATCTATTTACTGTTTGGCATCCCTGATTTAGAGCACTTCAGATAGATGAACTTCCCTGTGAGCTGTAGCTCACGAAAGCTTATGCTCAAATAAATTGGTTAGTCTCTAAGGTGCCACAAGTACTCCTTTTCTTTTTGCGAATACAGACTAACACGGCTGTTACTCTGAAACCTAAGAACAGGGTATGTGTTCACCAGTCAATATTTACAAACATAAGGGTGGCTTGAGGCTCAAGACTTAAAATTCACTCCTCTGGTAGCTCTGAATTTCCCTGTTTAATCATCCTCTGTGGTTCATCAGGAACTGGGGAGGGAATAAAAGGGATGTTTGAACCTAGCCCCAGCCACCTGCATTTATTGTTTGTGCATTTGTTATAGCCCCTTGTGTATTCGGAGCCTTTGAACTATATGTGCTTTCAATGCCTGTTGAACTGACTGCTGCAAAGAAATAAAAAATTCTCATCTAGCAGATTTTTCAAAGCTAAGAGCCCACTTCGATGTTTATTACACCGACTCTGTAGCACTGATTTCAAAAGTTCCCTACATAAAAGCATTGTCTTATTGAAGAGGAACTGCCATAAAGAGGACAAGACGACAACTGAAAGCTGGGCTCAAACAGTCCTGAAAATCTCACAGAGCAGCAGATGACACATAAGGGTCTGATCTGGAAGCTCTAATACAGGCAGAGCTCCTTTGAAGTCACTGGAGCTTTGCCTGTATAAAATCTTCAGGATCTGGTTATAAGCGGGGAAGGTCGGAGCTGAGAGTAGCCCTACAGTCCAACATCTCAGGAATTCATTGTTCGCTTCTTCTCCCTTCCAAATAGAGTGGCTCTTGGGGATAGATACTCACTTCTGTGTTGGCTGTAACTCCACTGATTTGGGCTGAATTACATCAGCATAAAACTGATGTACTTGAGAATAGAATCTGGTCTTCAGTCTAAAGCAGGAGAGTTAGTGGGCCAGGAAATTTAGCACTTATCAAATCTGCCATCTTCTTCATTCTAGGGCTTGGAAGACTAAATCTTTCCTTCAAACTGATGGCCTCAGAAGGGTCATCTACTTTATTCCCAGCATTAACAGACCACACAAACATTTTAAAATTAGTATTTAAAGATTTATTTGAATTAATATTCCTACTTTGAATTTGAAGTTATGTGGAGTGGCATAGTGGCCAGACTGGGGAAGAGACTGTGTAGTCTAATCAGTTTTAATTTATCATTGCACTTACCCAAAGCCCTATAGGTGCATACATAAGGCAACAAAAAAATCGCTAAGCAAAAACACTCCAATATATTCTCAGAACAATGCACAGAATGAATCGCTCCCATATCACATACAATACAAGCATAAATACCTTTCTTTGATAAAATAACTGATTTTTTAAATAAGAAAATGAAGTAGATCTAATCTGGCCTTCAGTAAGGCATTTCATACACACTGAAAATTAGTAATTTAGCTGAAGAAGATGGGGATTAGGGTAACTTTAAGGAGGTTAAGAAACTGGCAAAAGGGGAGAAGACAAATGGTTGTGTTGAAAGAACAATTGGGCTGAAGGGAGGTTCCTAGCAGAGTTCCTAAAGGATCAGACTTGGGACTTATGACTTTGACACAAAAAGTAGGAAGGTGCTAGTAAAATTTACTGAAGACACGAAGTTAGGAGGCATTGTCAATACACAGGAGGACTGGAATTTTATACAGGAAGAATTGGATCACACTGATGACCTGGAGTAATAGAAATGAGATGAAATTTAAAAGTGCAAGGTCATGAACATAAGAACCAATAATAAGAATTTCTGCTATAAGCTGAAAGAAAAGGAGTACTTGTGGCACCTTAGAGACTAACCAATTTATTTGAGCATAAGCTTTCGTGAAGTGAGCTGTGGCTCACGAAAGCTTATGCTCAAATAAATTGGTTAGTCTCTAAGGTGCCACAAGTACTCCTTTTCTTTTTGCAAATACAGACTAACACGGCTGTTACTCTGAAACCTGCTATAAGCTGGGGACTCATCAGTTGAAAATGACAGAGAAGGAGAGATACCTGGTCATGTTAGTTGATCACAAGATGACTATGTACCATGAACATGATACAGCTATGAAATAAGCAAATGTGGTCCTAGGATATATCAGGTGAGGTATTTCAAGTCTCTCTCGCAGGCGTGTATGGCATCTGCAGAGCAACATTTTATAGATGCAGTTGTAGGTCCATAAGACATTTCAAGGCTTCCTCTGTGAGACTTCATCGGATGCATCCGATGAAGTGAGCTGTAGCTCATGAAAGCTTATGCTCAAATAAATTGGTTAGTCTCTAAGGTGCCACAAGTACTCCTTTTCTTTTTGCAAATACAGACTAACACGGCTGTTACTCTGAAATCTGTGACACTGTGGATATCATTTGGGGCACTGCGTTATGATGTGTTCATTGGTTTGGATGTTCTCACTGTAGTCACGTGAAACATCGTCTTTGATTTTCCACTTGTGCATCAAGTAACTACATCTTCCTCTGTTTGTTTGGATGTGGGTCAATGAGGTCCCAAATCTGTCTGGCAGGTCGAAACCGGGGAGGCAGTTTGTTGGGTCGGTAATAATGTGCTTGTTTGGAACAGCAGATGAGGTCCAGACACTTTGCCATTCCCTAGCCAGATCTAGAGACTAGAAGTGGTCAAGTGTGGTCCATAGTAACTTTCACAATTTCAGGCATGATGGGGTTATGTAATCCATAACCTGCCAGATGGGAGGTTCCGCATAGTCTTTGGCACATTTAAATTCTTGTGCTGTGGCTACATCTCAACGGACAGCTGGAGGTTCGATGTTTGTTAACACAGAAAGCCACAGTAGAGGTGTTGATTTTAAAGTTTCCATGATGATTCGCATGGTCTGATTCAGCTGCCTCTCCACAAGCTGGGTATGGCAGCTTCTTGTTGACACCAGGACACAATACTCTGCAACTGAGTACACAAGGGCCAAGGCCAATGTTCCTAGAACCAGGGCAGTTGATCCCCAGTGTGTTCCCACTAACTTTTAAATAATGTTTACATGAGTTTTCACTTTCGAGGCTACTTTCTTGAGGTGGTCATGAAAGGTCAGTGTGCAGTCAAAAATGCCACCAAAATATGTTGGCATTGGGTCGTAATGCACAGTTTCACCATGAAACTTGACAGTTAAGAGTGTTTTGTGCAATTCTATTGTCAAAGTGGAAAGTAGAGACTACCGATTTGCTTGGATTTGGTCTCAGCTGCCACTTTTGAAAGTATTTCTCCATCAGCTTAAGGTCAGATCTAAGGGTCACTTCAAGTTTTTTAAAGCTATGGGCCTAAGTGGCGAGTGCCAAACCATCAGCGTACGCAAATTTCTGCGCTATCATTTCAGGCATATCATTCATGTATACACTGAAGAGTATTTCCAGTAAAGATAGGGAAGTATTAATGTAATAGTACAAGGCATTAGTAAGACCTAATTTGGAATACTGTGTACAAATCTGTTTACTCATGTTCAAGAAAGATGACCATAAACTGGAAGAGGTGCAGAGAAGAGCTACTACGTGATTAGGGGAATGGAGGACGTATCTTATGAGAGGACACTGGAAGAGCTTGGCTTGTTTAGCCTGGCAAAATGAAGGATGAGAGAGGATAGGATTTGCAAAAAGAAAAGGAGTACTTGTGGCACCTTAGAGACTAACCAATTTATTTGAGCATGAGCTTTCGTGAGCTACAGGATAGGATTACTCTCTATGAAGACATCGGAAGATAAACAACAGGTAGGGAGAAGAGCTATTTAGGTTAAAGGAAAATGTTGGCACAAGAAGAAATGGGTACAAACTGGTCATGACTAAATTTAGGATGGAAGTTAGAAGAAAGTTTGTAATCATCTGAAGAATGAGGTTTTGAAACAGCCTCCCAATAGAAGTTGTTTTGGTAAACAACCTAATTAGTCTGAAAATAGAGCTTAAAAATTTTTGAGTGGGACTGCATTGCATGCAGTGATGGGGGTTGGGCTCGATGGCAAAGGGGGTCCCTTCCAGTCCTATGTTCCTAAATCTCATGATGCAGGGCTTCAGTTGGTCACCTGTAGGGGTTAGGAAGGATTTTTTCCCTGTTGTATTCTGCGGGGTGGTTCTCCTTCCTTTAAAGCATTGGAGATGGCACAGCTGGCATCACCAGACAGGGTGGGACAGAAAAATTCTCTCTCAGATGCTTGGCTGGTGGGTCTTGCTCACATGTTCACGGTCATACCAATTGCCATTTTAGGTTGGAAAGGAATTTTCCCCAGGTCATATTGGCAGGGACCTTGGCGGTTATTTGCTTTCCTCTGCGACATGTGACTTACTAGGATCATCTCGGATAGCTCACCTAATCAATTCCCTGCTATTGCAGAGGGCTAGGTCATTGGTTCACATTGGTCCCTCCTATTTGCTGTCTATGGTACACAATAGTTTAGTCTAATTCAGGTTATTGGGCTCAATACTGGGTTAACTGGGTGGAGCTAGTGGCCTGTGATGTGCAAGAGGTCTGACTAGATGATCTGGTGGTCCCTTCTGGCCTTAAACTATTTGACTCTACACAACTCCCTCCGAATTAAAACAGGAACAACCAAGTTTTAGGCTTTTCTTTGAGGATTGAACATTGTCATAAATCTAGTACTGACCTATGATTAAAGAGAACAGTCATGGATTGAAAGGTTCTTATATCGCATTTGCATCTGACCTCTAAGCTATTTTATATGACACCATGTCACAGGACAACTGGCCCAGCTCTCCTGTTCCAGTCCAGGTGTGCCCTAGTTTGGTGTAATGAGGAGGGCGGGACTGCTCCTGGGAGTTATGAGAGACAGCCCAAAGGCAAGAGAGAGTCCAGAGGCTGAGGGCAGAGCTGGGCTGCCCCTGAAGGAAGGAGCTGTGAGTTCCGTGTTGAGCAGTGAGCCAGATGTGGCCAGTGAAAGTGAAAGGCAGTTGAGGAATCACATACAAGTTTCCCCAGGCCAGAGAGCCATGGATAGAGAGGGCTGAAGGCTGAGAGCGGCAGAAGGAGACACCTGCTGGCTGAAAGACCAGAGAGGATTAAAGGCTGGCGGAAGATGTAGGGGTGAGCTTGCTGATGTCTCCAGGTGAGAGTCAGAGCCAGACCTGAGAATGAAACAGGGCAGAGAAGCAACCCAGGTTGAGGGGCTAGGATGAGGCATGGTGAGAGATGCTGGAGCTGTACCTGAGAGCCTGAGCATAGTGAGAGACATAAAGGCTGCACTTGGTGTGTTCATGAACTGTTGTGACTTGAAAGATTGGCTGAACTGTGGAACTGGGGAATTTGGACTGTGTTGAGGAATTCTGGATTACAGTTTTGGGACTCTTGTAATAAATAAATGCTGGAAAGGGTATTGGTACCTGAAAAGATTGCCTGGAGTTACTGGGGACTCTGGAAGAAAGGGGTAACTGTGGCAGGTTCATGGGTCGTGCAGCAGCATGCTGCAGGAGGGCACCCGAGGAAGGATTGCCTCATCACACACCAATAATCTACTTCAACCCACTTTATAAAGCATCAGACTTACCTTGGTAGCTATTGCGGAAACTGCAGCAGTTCGTTTTGCTGTAATGACACTGCCATCCATGACCTTTTAAAGAAGAAAATCAAATAGACTGAAATGAACACTGAAAACATAATGCCAGCTGCTTTCTCCATGTGTGAATTAGTGCTTCACTATCATGTGAAGGGACAAGGAAAACCTGAGAGAAGATGATTATTTATGCAACACTTGCAAATATATTCTGTGTAAAATTGGCAGATTCTCTTCCCTGCTAGACTCCTTTCATGACACTCAGTCAGCACAAAGTGAGTGGAAACTGGCCATCATCCCAGTGGCATCGATCCAACATAACCATTTCTACACTACACTTCCTGGAAATCCCAGTACTGGGGGTGTTTCAGAGCAATGAAGGCATGGCCAGAGCACACTGCACTCTGGCTAGCGTTGGGGACTATTGCAAGCATGTATATGAAGCAGGGCACAGGCAGAGAATCATGGAGCCATAATCAAGTGCCCCCCTACCTTGTACTGCACCCAGGGTGAGCACAACGGAGACTCTGGCTCTATATATTCAATTATCATGTGAAAATGGATTCTGGAGTCTCGCTGAGAAACAGACACTTTCACTGTTCTGGCCCTTCTCAAACCATTATCCTCATTTTTAATTAAGAAAGATAATATCCCAAAATTCCGATTACAGCCCCTAATCCCATTCTCACTGAGGCCAACAGTAAAACTTGCATTGCCTTTAACAGTTCAGAATATTTGGCAATTTATTCTTTCCCCCTAAAATATCAACTAAACATGGTGTTGGGGGATTTCTTCAAATAAACAGCTTAACTTCAAATCACCAGTTTCAGAGAGCAAAGAAAGGAGTACAGATTAAAGAGAATGAAACAGACAAGACTGAGGGCCAGATTCTCAGCTGGCACAAATCACCATAACTCCACTGAAGTGAATGGAGTGATGGCGATTTACACCAGCTATGTCATCTAAAATCAAAGTATGATTTTGAGAGACTGTTAACAAAACAGAACGCATCAATGCACACTGAACTTACAGCTTTTAAAGAGCCATTTCTTGGGTCAAAGAGTAATATAGTTGCTTGGTGAGAGGGAACAGAAGAATCCTTTTTGTGTTCATAGAAGGTTACCAGTTTAGTTGTTAGAGCATCGTCCTTTGCACTGTAAGCAGGCATGACCCCTAAAAATCTTTGAAAGAGAAAAAAATATACATTTAACATCAAATTTTATAATTTGTTAGCTAACTAGCAAGAAGTTAATAAGCAACTGCTTTTGATCTCTAATGTAATAAATAACCCTCTCTATAGCCCTACTTTTTCTTTTCTCCACTTCTAAATTGGGAGACATTTTCTAGGCTATTTAAATGTGTGTTTTCTAAAGAAGGATGCAATCTGCCCCCAATGGGAGTTTTGCCATTGACTTCAATGGGCCAAGATTTCACCCCAGCTTTCTAGTACAGTTTAACTTTAATGGTTTGCACATTGACTTTCCTCCTAACCAGGCGCTGTTAATGACTATTTACAGCTTTAGTTCAGAACTAACAGGGTGAAATCTTTGCCCTAGTGAAGTCAATGGCAAAACTCCCTTTGACCTCAGAGGAGGCCAGGATTCCACCCACAGTCTTCTCCTTTTCCTACTAATTATTATCCCCCTATTATCCTTGAAACACTAGCAGTCCCGCTTTGTCTCTCTCTGCGCAGAGACATAGCAGTGATTTATCCTGTTACTGCAGAGTGCCGGCCAATGGGCACACGTTATAACAGCCTGGATCTCTGATCTTCAGCATAGATTTTAAAGGCACAAAGCAATTTGGAGCCAGCTCCAGAACTCGTTTGAAGGAAGCATCAGCCAGGGCCCTCCTTACCCATACGCAAACTACGCAGCTGCGTAGGACACCAGAAAATTTGGGTCACCAAACTGCCTGGTGCCCTACGCAGCTGCCTGCTGCTCCAGCGCACAGCCCCGCTCCACCAGCCTGGGTCGGGCACTTCAGAGACTGTAGCGGTTTGCACGAGTGCTCACTAATAGACGGGTGCAGGGGACGTGACAGGAGAGGGGCGCCTGCCTGGTTACTCTCATTGCAGTATCCCAGCTGGAAATCTCTCTAACCAGACACAGCTGGGGACTCTCACGGCAGGGGCAGTCAAGGAAGCCCTCACCGTGGAGAGGGACTGAGAAAGGGATTCCCCCCCCCCACCTCCCCACGCTGGCTCAGGACGAGAGGGGGGCCCCCGTGGAGTGCCCGTGATGGGGATCCCTGGAGCGTGCACCCCTACTTACCCGCTGTACTTCTGCACCGCCACGACGGTGCGCATGGGCTGCACGACGCCTCCCTCCGCGCCGCTGGAGAAATTGGCCAGGGCAGCTTCCAGCGAAGGGACCAGGAGGCTGGCGCGCTGCAGGTGCTTCTCCACCACCTCGGAGCCCAGGAAAACCGGCGGCGCGGCGCTCATGGTGACCAGCACACGGGCCGGACGGGCAGCACAGACCCTCGTGCGCCTCCGGCTGCAGCCTCTTGTGCCCGCTTGGCTGTAAGTTTTGTCCGGGACCCACGCTGCCACCCCCCTCGCCAGGCTGCTGCAAATGTGCCGCGTGGGGCTCCACCTAGTGGGTACACGGGACACTCTGGAGTATCCATCCTCGCCTATTGGGGCCGGACGGCGGCATGTGACCCGGCTGCCACGTCCCAATCATTATGGACATGGGACCCTTATCTTGGAAAGGGGGGAATCACCGCCAGGGAATCTCATAGGTACAGGTCACGGGGGTGTGTGTGTGTGTGTGTCATTTTCCCCGTTATTCTAAGGAACAGACTCTTATGGGGAACTCCCCGCATTGTGCGGCTCATTATTATCCCTTACTGTGGGGTGTCTCGCTCACTGCGGAGGGAGGTCACCCGCCACGGGGAGAGGGTAAACCCACGGTGCGTGTGGGCAGGGGGTAACGTAATGCCCCATAGAGGGAGCCTCCGTTGTGGGAACTGTCCCCGCCTGAGCCCAGCCCTGCAACCTGTTTGTTCCACTTGGGTGACACGCCCTGGGCACGGGCAATGCGTTTCCCATAAAGGAGCACATTGTTTCCCACGGGATCACAGTTTTTTGCAACGGCTCTTCACTAATCCCACGCCCTGTGCTGTGGGGTCACTACTCCTACCCCAGCTACTGAGGGATCCTACGGAATCTCCGGGTACGAGCGCAGCTAGGAAAGGGGAGAATCCGGGATTTGTGATGGCTCTCTATTGAACCGCAGGGCATAAGCCCTCGATCCGCCCCGCGCTCACCCGGGCGCCGCACGACCCACCCAGACAAGAACGGATCGCGGGCCACAGCGCACAACCCTGGCCTGCACCCCGCAGGGGGCGCTCCACAAGAGAAGGCGGGGCCCCATGAAGAGCCGTGGGAATTACTGGAGGGAGTGGGCGGGGCTTTGCGCCCCCACGCAGGCGCACGCCGCACATCATTCGGACGCAGTGGCCGAGCCGTGAAAGAGGGCTGTCTAGGTTGTCTAGGCTGTCCAATCCCGAACAGGGAGCAGTAGAGGCTGGTCGCCTACAGCTAGAAGGTCAAGGCGACGCGGTGTATGCTGGGAAGGCAGAGTCTTCCTCCGGTGTCGCCATCTTGTTTCTCTGAGGGGGCACCAGAGGCAGCTGCGGGAGCGGCACGGAGAGGATGAAGGCGATCCCGACTATCGCTCGTTCCCTCTCGGTGAGTGCGGCGGGATGCGGTTGGGGGGGCAGAGCGAGGAGTCCTTGCACCTGGAAGGGGGCTGGGTCCGGGCCGGGCGGGGTTGACCCTGGCCTTGCTGTCGGGTAAGGGGGCTGAGGGCAGCCCCCTTCTCAGGTGCGGCGTGGAGCTGAGACCGAGGGAGGGGCGTGTGGGAGGCTGGGGAGGATGGAGCGGAGCCCGCGGCGGTGTCCGGGGCAGGGAGCGGGGCTGAGTGTCTGAAGGTCACCTCGGCCCCAGCTCGGCTGTCGCTCGGCGGGTGGGAGTCCTCGCCTGTCCCCGGCCAGAGCAGCTTCCCTGGGGCTCCCGTAGGGACCTGCTACCTGCCCTTCTCCCTCCCAGAAACGAGCAGCCTGTTCCCTGCTGGGGGAGGCCGGGCTGGATAGCTTGGGCCGCCGCTCCGAGTTCCCATGGGAGCCGCGCAGTGAGCAGCTGCGGGAGGAGGAATCCCTCGGGAGGCAGCTGGACGGGATCTCCTTCCTTCCCCCGCAAGGGTTATTCCCTGTAGGGCCCTTAAACCTGCAGCCTCACCTTGTTAGTTAGTGCCTTAGCCTGCCCGTTGGTTGTCGGACTTGACTTGTGTCGGCACGTAGTGGAAAAATTCTAACCGTTATTGAGGGCCTACTGGGAAAGGTGCCTTGTCTGTTGCAGATAGTGGCACAGGTAGGCTAATAAATATCTTGGGAGCCCTAGTATTTTTCTGTATAAATTGTAGACATGTCTGTACTACTGAGTCGAACTAGGAAAGAGTCTGGAGATGAAGTAATTATCACCTTTGTGGTGATAAAACCTATATTGAGATACAAGTAGCTTCAAAATATATTAACCAGCCCTGTCGCTAAGTGAAAAGCATGTAATAGTGTAACTAGAAAGACATGGTAACTTAAGTTAATGGCCTAAAAATTCTATCAGATCCTCAACATGGTTTGGGGGGTTTTTTGGTCACTTAATTTTTACTCGTTACTCTCAGGTTTTGGGGAGAAAGTGAGTCTTTATATGAAAAATAAACTTAACATTTGAGGAAGAAGGTAATAATGTTTCACACTTGAAGTTCAATTATACTTCTTGGTTTTGGGATTTATAGGCTGTGTGGGATGCTCTTATGCCAATGTCCATCTCTTCAGTTTGGAGGCCTTCCATTTCTGATTTTTGACTACTGCTGTAGTTTCGTTGTAGTCCTGAGTCTAAACTAGAGGTTCTCAAGCAGTGGGGCGCGCTCCCTGGGGTGGGGGTGGGAGAGCACCACAAGACTATCAAGGGTGCAAGGGCCTACGAAGTGTGCTGAAGGACCAGGGTTCAGGAGGGGGCTCTGTCCATAGCTGCTTGCTCTTCTCACTGTACAACAACAGATATCTTTCTCTGCTGGACAGACCACCAGGACCCCCCCGGACTACTGACTGCCTGCTGGACAGAGCCCTGTCTGCTTTCGCTATCAGACAGAGCCTGTGCTATGGAAGTCGTGGGGGCTGACAGGGCCACTGCAGGGAGCAGAAGACTTCCTTGACTGCCATGTGGTGATTAGCCCCTTGGATATACAGGGGGTGGGGTGAGGGTGTTATATATAGGAAATGAATTTCCGAAGGGGAGTTTAGCTAAAAAAAGTTTGAGAACCTTTCTTTCAAAGAAAGTCCATGTCATCTATGCAGTTATTAGTGAAGTTGGGTCAATTTGCTGGTAGGTGGCGCTCTAAGGATAGGGCCACTTCTACCAAGGAGTTAAGAGTATCACTTCCACATGTTATGTTATATTTTAGTTAAATTCCATGTGATTAATTGCTTGGTGAGTTGCAGTAGTGACCACAGAGTATGCTATATAATTTTCATGTAACTAAATATTTAATACAACAGTGTAATATGGCAATTTTGATGATAATCAAGGTCCCAAGTAGTCTGCGACTGCAGAATTAATTTTATCATTCTTAAATTTGTAGTTCTTCACCTGTGTGATTTTTTTGAATGGGCTCCAACAGGAATGTGAAACTGCTCAGATTAAACCCTCGGGGTAAAAGATATGGTAACCATTCTGCCATACACTAGTTAATGTATTTCAAAACTGTATGTTCTGAATTATTGCTTAATGTGTTCCATTAGATACTGCAGTGATATATAATTTGAGAGTAGAAATACGTTCCTATTTAATCTTGCTTGATGTTGTTTTCTGTTTTAGAAGAGGTTTTATTCTCTCAGCGTTGCTCCCAAAGTTGAAGCCTCAGCAGCTGCAGAGCGAGGAAAGTTACATCTACAGCCACAGGATCTCGAGGTCAGTGCAAATGAATATTTTTAAACTTTTTTTTGTGTTGGACTGAATCAGATCACAAAGGAACAGTGTGGTGACCGTACCTTTAACGAACTGCTAAACTGTAATAGGTCTTTATTTTCTTTATTATACAGATCACAAAATTACCAAATGGCTTAGTGATTGCCTCTCTGGAAAACTATTCCCCTGCTTCAAGGATTGGTGTGTTCATTAAAGCAGGTAGCAGATATGAAACCACCAACAATTTGGGAACTTCCCATTTGCTCCGTCTTGCGTCAAACTTGGTAGGTATCTTTCCTCTATTTAATTCTTTGAAGATAGGTAAAATGGTGAAATGCTTGAGATCTTTTAGAGACACCCACGTAATTAAAATTAATCTAGAGGTACTGGATTGCTTAACTGAATGATGATGATGTATCATTCCACCTCTGGTTTCTTGGTTCATATAGAACACAGGTGGCTAGTGAAAAAACTGTTACCATTCGATGACTTTAGTTGTCTGGGAGAAATGAGTTGATGACACATTACTTTCTAGTAGTCAGAAATGTGTCTCAAACATCAACAACCGTTGATGCATTAATTCAGTGTTGCTCTGTAAGAAATTGAGCGATTGCACCAATCTTTTAATGAGGCTATACACAGAATGCAGTAAAAGATAAATTGAATGTTTAATATGTATTTACTATTTAATTGACGTCCAAATAAAGTTTTTCTTACTGATAAGAACATCTTAAGCTCCAGGGTGCCTTACGAGGTCTTATTGAGTTCAGTTTCACTCCCTGGTGATCTGATTTAATATATGGGCATATCTGTGGTTGTAGATGAAATCATCTTTTTCGAGTACTGACCTCCTTATTAATTATGGTTGTAGACCTAATACTGCCCAGGCTGTTTTAGCTATCTTCCACTGCTTAAGTGTGTTCGATAAAATTAATTTTTTTTTAACAGCATATTAATTTTAGTTATTTGGCTAAAAATTCAAGATTATGAAAATGTGTTAGTACACAAGAAAACGAAAAAAATATTTCTTGGTAAACAGACTGGAAATATCTTTTAATGTTGTGCCTAGAATTATATTTAATAACCTGATGCAAATAAAATTGTTCTTGGAATACCTAAAAGTGTAAAAACTGCTTCTGTGTTTTTATAGACTACTAAGGGAGCCTCTTCCTTCAAGATTACTCGTGGCATTGAAGCTGTTGGAGGTAACCTAAGGTTTGTAACTATTATTTAAAGATAATCTGAATTGCTGAGAAAATAATGGAAACTGTAGGTAGTATGGCTAAAATTTCCATGTGCAAAATGACCCAAAGTGCCAAAAAAAAAAAAAAAAAGAATAAATACATAAACATGCCCAATGAACATTAACTACATGGACCGATCTGCCTTATGTGATTATATGTAAACTTTGAAGTATGAATCTTCTTTTAATGCTTCAAAAAAGATCGGTAATAGACAAAAAATAACTTGTTCTCTATTCCTTTATCCTAATCAATTATTCATAGTTTTACAAATGAAAAATTTGCAAAAGAATACAAGTGTACATAATTTTTAGCAGTTTTTGTAATTAGATGGTGGGGAGTTCAAAGTACAAAAACTAAC